GAAGAAGGAGGGGACAAATGTTATGTTGCAGGAGGTCGCAACGGAATCAGAGACAACTAGAGCACGTAACATCAGAAATTTTGATAGATGGTTTAACAAAAAAGAATCCTTTGTAATAAATTTCTTAAACAAAGTGAAGTATAGCTACGTAACACAACCTAACCATCTGCGGTTATAGAATATTTCAGTACCTAAGAGGGGACTTCCTTCTGAGGCGGACTCAAGTTCCACAATCTCCGACCCAGAATTGGAAGAACTCCTAATCACAGCCGCGTGTCTTCTCCGGAGCTTCATCCTCGGTTGCTCAGGAGCGCAAGAAACCCTGGCGAAATCTACGCTCTTTGCAAAGCTCAAGCCGTAGTCCCTGGTCCGCAGACCAGGAATCGAAGAAGGAACAGCTCCAGCGGCCATATCCACAGCACCCTCTCCTGACCTTCTCAGTCCTACAAAGACACAATTAAAAAATCAGAAAAGGAAAAAGCCAGAAAATTCACAAACCAATAAATTAACTGGAGGTTCAGATAGCATCAATTCCATTAAGCATGACCACAAAATCCGAAACAAGATAAAGCAATCGAAGAACAAAAAAGGGGCAAGGCTTTCAGCCGAAACTACTTCTGGAATTCTGTATCAACAGCACGCCCTTCCGGGGGAATGACGACGAGCAGGAAGAAGAGGAGGCGCTCGGCAAGGTACAGCGAACCTACTCACCAAAGCCAGGGGAGGAAGACGCAGCTGATGGTGACGCCGGTGTGCGTGTGTCGCACAAGAGACGCCTTGGCCGACCAAACCAATCTAGTTCGGAACAATTAGCACCTTTTTATATGCATCATTTAGCGAATTACAAATGATATGCATCATTTGGAGAATTTCAAGAAAACCCTCTCTTTCTTTTTTTTTCTTTTTTTTTTGAAAAATATCCTATTTCTAGAATTCTCTAACTGTAGTATTATAATATTATATCATATTATAATATTATATCATATTATATTTTTTTAATAACATAAAGATATAATACTTTTATATTAATTTTGTAAGACACTATATATCATTGTGTTATAGTGTTTTACTAAAAAAAATTACAATACAGTAAAAAATATTATAATTAACAAAAGAGGATTTTTTAAAGAAAAACTTAAAAAGAATTTGTTTTTTGAGAATCCACCCAAAGAAGATTTATATATTTCAAATTAATCTCTTCAATTGATTCAAAATATGAATTTATTTAGGTTGATGCTGACTAATTTAAAATATGATATCTTCTGACTTATTATAGACATATCGAAGATATCATCCTTAATCACAAATATTGAAAATGTTAAATTGATCTCCTCATCTCATTTGATTATTTATTTATTTTATATTTTATATCATCGATGAAAAAAATAAAAATAAATTTAGTTTTCCAACTAAGTTTAGATGGAAAACATAAAAATTAAAATTATTAACTGTTAATTATAATATTTTTATTATTTTAAAAATTAAGGGCGTTGTAGAAAAAAAAATCAGAACTTATGATTTTTTTTGGGACAATAACTCTGTATCCAACCTCACAAAATTGTCTTTTGCTACGTTAATTGTGATCTATAACCTCCCATCCTTCTCTCGTTTCCCTACAGTCACTCATCACAAGATAAAATTACAACGCGAGCAGAATATTCCGTGCTGCGAAGCGACGGACGCGCCCCATTCCTGGAATCTTCCGCCACGGATGGCTTCTAAGCTCTTGTCGCCATTTTAACAAACACGAGAAGAACGCAGGAGGAGGTGTTCTCTGGTCAATTCGAGGACAGTGGCAACCGCAGAAGCATATCAGGTTTTTGTTTGGTTCTTCCTGTTCTTACGTCTACCTAATTTTTTTTTTTATTGTTTTTCCTTCTATTTTATGGTATTAAAAGTACAATTTGATCTTTCTTTTTTCCCTTCTGTTAGAGTTTAATAGAAGATTGGATCCTTTTTCTAATACCTTTTGTTCTTGAGAAATAATCACTTAATTAAATTGGATTTATATCTATTTTATGTTCTTGAATTTATATCTAATTGAATTCTAATTTGATCGATTGCCACATTCCCATAAGATTTATTGAATCCTACAGTCCAAATTTGATTTACTTCGTAATCGACGCATTTAAATGAGATATCACATCAGATGTAGACATTTCATCCAAGTCCAACCAAAACGAGGGATGATGATCGACCCAACGTTGCCGTCTCATCATCGGACTTCTTGCGTCTTCGTCAGGACTGCAGTAGGGGCAGCTTGAGCCGCCTTCCACGTAAAACACGCGGTGTCACAGTTAGGCATAGCTTCTTCCTTCCTCGATGATGCTTTGACTATTTACCCTTTCTCTCTCTATTGATCCTTCTCTCTCACTTTCTCTTTATCGTTGTTCTGATATCAAAAGATTAAACCTTGATGGGTCAAATCTTCTTCATTAAGGTCGATAACATACGAATAGATGGAGTCGATTAAATACATTTATCTTTCTCTTATCACGATAGTTCTGATAAAATACTTTTTATTTTCTAAACAATTAGATTATTTTTGGTTCATGCACGATTGATTACGACCTCCATCCCCGTCCCGTCATTCCACCGTCTTCGCCTTTGCCTGTTGCCTTTGTCTCTTTTGTCTCCACCCCAGAGGTGATCACGATGGGATGGTGGCAAAGATCAAAAGGACATAGATCAAAGATAATTTTATCTCTTAAGAAATAATAGATGTTCTATAGAAATATAAACAAAAAACATGCTGTTCTAGAAAAATATAAAAAGTTGGATTGTTTTGAATTTATCCTTTTCTTAACATTAAGAAAAACATAGTTTTAAATAGCTCGATCGATATATACGCTCTCACGAGTTCCGAGAAATTCTCTCAAAAACATGAATCATACTCGAGAAAATGCAACTAAACCAACAATTGGCTCGCAGGTAGATCCGGCAGTCTGAATCAAAACGTGAATCATACTAATGGCATGAAAAGACCGATTTGATAAGCTGTGTGTTTGGACAAAGAGCCACGCAAGTCATGCCATCAAGTCAAAGCGCATGTCTCACGCTTCGGTTTCCAGGAACACTTGATGGAAACCCAACTCCATGAATTAACTTTGGTGAGTCCAGAAAGAAAGGCTTCGATATTATAAAATAATCATAGGTCGCATTGTGTCGATAGAGATGGTGGGGACATTAAACGATAAGATATGTATCGAGACAGGAAAATATTCTTGAAAATTTTAGAGAATATTCTTTATATGATCATTTAGTCACATATTAGTTAAGCTCATAAGTCCATTGATTCTTATTTATTCAAACACCTTTTAAACCTCACCAATTATAAAAGGATAAAATTGTATATATACGTCTATCATCTAGGGTGGTATATTCCTTATGAGTCTACGGACCACACCAATAATCGATCAATTAAATGATCTCTTATCAGATTAGTGCTAGAATGAGGGCCCAAGGTTACGAGCCTTTGGCTCCCCTATTGATAATATCATTTTATCTCATATTAATTGAAGAGTATGAGAATTAATGACTTAACTCTTTTATTTTTAAAAATGTCTTCTAAAACTCACGAGTTCTGAAAGGATAAAATCGTGCCTAAAACGGATAATTGTTTGCGAGTCTACGACAACACCAATGATCAATCGATCAAATGATCCCTTATCATGTTGTTATTATTTTATATATTAATTATATAAATAATATTCTATTTGGATATTGTTCAAATCTTGATCTCTTTTTTATATTTTTTAATTCTTATCTCAGTGTATTTAGTTTTTGCCAAAATTTACGAATACTAATACTTCAAAAAAGGGGTCATGTCCGCTCAAATGAACAAATGATTAAATTTGATCTTATTATGTTGGGAGTTAGACCATCCAAATTTGATATTATCGTATTTTCTCCTTTGCATTAAACATAGTATTGAAATTTGACCTCATAATTAATTTTAATAGAACATAAACTATATTAGAAACATTTATAATGAATTTTTAGAGTGTTATTTCGTTAGAAAATACTGTACCAACGTTTTTATATTAAACCATCACTCCAGGTAAAAGAGCACATGAGAAATGTAGTACTTTAACAAAGTACACCATGTTATTTCTTGATCAACTAATCAATTTATTATTATCATATTAATTTTTTTACAAGATTATTATAAATGTGATGTTCGCATTATTGGAAGGCTATTATAGACAAAGATTCAAGAACTTAGTCTCGTTTAAGTTTTTAATAAGATAATTGATCGGATCACATTTAGTTTTTGAAATGTAACGTAAATTGGGTATCATGTAATCCAATCAACTTATATGAATTCTTTTATGTGTTTACTTATCTTAAAATTCATATACTTTTTGACAAAATTCTAATATAGCACTTGCATAATGAATTGATGTGAGTAAAATAAGATAAGATCGAATACATTACATACCTATTCGGCTTTCAAACAAGTGGCGTATAATGCATCTAATTCAGCTTTCATGATATTCCTTTCAATAATTATTTGTTTAATTGATGATGAGATTGATTTGATCTCATGAAAATAAAAAATTCAATTTACATCACTATAGTCCCCCAAGCACAAATGAACAACCAACAAATATAAACAAAAAATATTAATATTTTAAAAATATTTAAAGTATATATATATATATATAATATAGGATTAGTACTAATTAGTTACTCTTAATATTTTAATCCTTATATTTTCAAAAATTATATTGGGATCCGTATACTTACGAAAGTAAAATATTTAATATTATTCCTTTATGTCATCGATTCTATCGAAAAAAATATCTTAATGATAAATCAAAATAAGATATAGTTAACCGATGACTTGATTAAAAAATAAAATTAAATATTTTATTTTTATAAATATAAAAATCTAAATATAATTTAATAAAAAATTTAGGGACACTAATTACAGGGCTAATATGTCAATTAGCCCCTACGACTACTGCAACTTACACGACTCACACGGCTGAAGGACCGCCACAAACCACTGTGACCGTCCCTTCATTTGGTTCGCGTTGCTTCTTGTGGCCGTCAATCTTCCGATCGCCACAGCGATAACGGACCACGGCGCCATCGCGCCGCTCGCCACACTTCCTTCCGAGCTCTTCGCCTCTTCTCCTTTCGTAATGACGGCGGCCGTTGGGCCGGCCGTCTCCGCTGCGGCCGTCCGCCCGACCTGGGCGGCGAAGCAGGGGAGGAAAGATAAGGGATCGGGCGGGATGGGGAACATGCTCCGGGTGCTCCGGAACGACCGGGATTTTCTTCGGGAGCGTCTCCGGCCGCTTTCCAATGCGCTAGGGAACCTCCTCTGGCTCCGAAACCTCGAAGACCCCCGCGCCAAAGACGTGTGCCGCCCTCCTGCCACGTGGCCGAAGATTTCGCATCCGCCAGGTATCTTCCTTCGCTTCCTCGATCTTAATTCTGCTGCTGAATATAGCTATTAGTTAACCCTGGGCGAGTGATTGGAGTAGAGAGCATATCGGGAGTTTTGTATGACTATGATGTGCCCATTCGATTTAATGTATATTGTTAGAAGCAGATTCTGATCGGCCAATGTGTTGGGTCATGGAGTCAACCTTGATAGAGTTCAAGTCTGTTGCAAGTTAGGAAGCCAGTGGGTTTGCTAGGGGATCCCCATTATTAAATTGGGGGAGTCCGTTCTATGCATAAGTTAATAAAACTGGAGGATAATATAGGATTCGGAGGGATCGAAGAGCTCTCGGTGAGCCCGTGGACATGAGACCTTTTTTAGTGGGACTTGACAAGGTCGGTACTAAGCAGGGGAGTTGATTCACAAGAGTGATCTTGGGGGATTGTCAGGTTTTATTCGGATGTGAGAAGCTACCCAAACCATCATGAGTTGCAGTTGGACCGTGGTGTCGATCAAGGATTGCCGTTTTAGGTGCTGGACCCATTTTGATGATCTATTGAACTAGGACATATCAGTCGATATCGCTGTATCATGTGTCAGTACATTGGTGTGTATTGATATTCCGGAGAGTAAGAAAAAGAGGGAGAAGACGAATGGGCGGTGGAGGAGGAAAATGGAAGAAGGAAGGAAGAAGAGGAGATAGTGGAGGAGGAGGAACAAGAACAGGAGAAGAGGTATACCACTATACCCAAGAAGTGATTAGGGCAAAAGATCGTGCGTGATGGCATTGTGCAGCAAGGTTGCGGCAAGTGGAGGTTGCCAATAGTGGCCTGCGTGAAAAGCGGAGGTGTTGATTGCGGTGAGAGGACGGAGGCATCAATCATAGTGAGAAGTTGCGGTGAGAAGCAGAGGCATTGGTTGCGGTGTAAAGTTGAGGTGAGAAGCAGTGGTGTCGATCGCGACTATGTGAGAAGTGGAGGCGGTGTGCTAAAGAAGTGGAAATGATTAGGGTTTTCCTTTTACATGGCGAACTGGATCGGAGTGGTCCGCATATCAGTTGATGCTCGGACCGGTACATACCATCCGTTCGTATTGGTTTAGGTGAAATGTCATTCCTTGTGCCGACCACATGATCTACTTAATGTTGCTGTTATAGTTCTCATGAATGCCTTTGCCTCTTTTGTTCAATATTTTGTGGTGGACATTCTCTCAAAATAGAACTGGAACATGTTTTTCTTTTCTTCTTTAGCAGAACATGATGTCATTTTCCTTATTGCCTTGATCTTTCTCACTGAGTTGATACTTTACTAAGTTCAATGTGGAAATTTTTTGGACAGGTCTATCTGGTTTGGACCTAATGATGGCTGATTTTGAAGCCTTGAAGGTGTATGCTAATCATTTGCAAGACACTTGTAAAGTTTTGTTCATGCCTTTACCTGAAATTTATGACCCTGAAAAGGTGGAACTCTATTTTAGTTGCCGACCTCATATACTGGCATTCCGAATTACTGAGGTATTGGAGGTTCTACTTTGTATTTCTTTTATCAAATTGATGCGACTGTGATAATTCACTTTGCGAAAAAAAAAGTGACCTTTCCTTGATAGTAAAGGCACAACAATATAGAATTATTAGAATGACTTTATTCAGCATACATTTACAATTTTAGGTTTTCTTGTCATTTGCCTCTGCTGCCATAAAACTGCAAGCTTCAAAAATTTCCAATCTGAATAAGCACAGAGCCAACCTGAATGACGGCTTTGATGGTTCACGATATCATATTGGTCAGATTGTTAAAGAGTCATTGCTGAATCTTGGTCCAACTTTTGTCAAAGGTCAGAGACCTAATTCTTGGAAATTTTTTACATTAAATTTTTTAGTGTGGCCTAGATGATATATAACATTATTTTTGTTAGGATGCTGCTGGAACTGTAATAACCTTTTCATTCTTGTTGGTTGATCCCAAATTTACTATTTAATAATCTCTGCTTGCATATGCAGTTGGGCAGTCCCTCTCTACAAGGCCAGACATAATTGGTTCAGATATTTCAAAAGTCAGTCAAGAGTAATGTGTATTTTTATGTCTTGATGTTGTTACCTTATCTCAGCAGAAACCCTGTGGATCATGTTTGAGCGAGACATCTGTTTGGGCATAGTTTTAAACCTACGAATGATGTTTTTCCTGCTTTACCTCAGGCACTATCTGAGTTGCATGACAAAGTACCTCCTTTCCCACGGACAGTTGCAATGAAAATTATTGAGGATGAATTTGGAAGCCCTGTAGAGAGAATCTTTAGTTACATTTCAGAAGATCCAGTAGCTGCAGCTTCATTTGGGCAGGTAGTTCTTTGTTTTATGTTGCCTATGTCTATTATCAAAGTATGTAATAATTATTAGTATTTAACCTAATAATGTCAACTAGGTATAAAAAAATTTGCTTCAAATCTTCCCAGAATGAAACAAGGCAACCAAAAAACATAAATTGTGTAATCCTTTAATGATTTTGTGTTATTCATGATTCTTGGGTCTTTTTTAGATTGGTTGCTCTTGATTAAACCAAAGATTTTGCCCTAGATAGAGCTAACTCATTGGTGCGAAAATAATCCATGTAACCCCATTACGGTTTGTTGTTGTCATTGTTGTTGATGATCATGGTGACTCTTAGATCTTGTACATTATTTCTCCCTTTTGCCTTGACAGAGGTAATCAGACAATTAATCCAGTGAAAGTATTGGATTTACATTAGATCCCGACTATTAAAGGAGAGGAGGTGGAGGAGAGGAGGAGGACAAGGAGTTGGTGGAGAAAGAGGATGAGGAGACGAAGAGGAGGAAAAGGAGAAGTACCGGCATAAGACATGTGGACGCTGCGATTGAATGATGCATAGGGCTTGTGAGCAGTTCTGAGCTGTAAAACTGTGTTAAAACTTAAAACAATATACATATATAATAAAATTATAAAATGATGATAAAAATCTCATTAGTATATATTGCTAATTATACACAATAAATTTGATGTTATATCTAGTAGCACAAAGTCAATCTGATTGGCAAAGTCTAGTGCAATTATTAAGAATTATTGACTAAGTGTTAATACTTCATAAATATTCAATAGAAATGATCTGTAAACACTATGGCAAAGATTTTGCTAAAATGATTGTTTCGGTGCAATTCACTGAACAATATTGCGCTCAGATTGAAATAAGAATTACGAAGTTCAAAATAATAATGCTGAACTAGGTCCTTTTTCCATTCATTCGGACTTGACAAGCAAACCAGAGTCGATTTGGTTGGAAAGAAAGAGGAAAACTTAAACCTAACACTGTTGAAGTGTACAACAGACATCTAGGAAAGTAGGGGTGTTGCATGATAGAATTTGGAAAATGAGATGTACTATGTAAAAATCACTTGGAGATTTTAACTCAATCAAAAAATATAGAAGATTTTATTGATTCAATGGCTTAGTTTTAAATAACATGTTTCTTAAAACTATTTTTTAAATATTTTAAAATTAACTATAACCTGAAATTAACTGGAGTCTAACCAGAAACCGAAAATGTCTAGTAAAGTATTAGAAATTTTAACCTAACTTCGAATTAATTGGATTCAAGGTGATTACTTCCTGGTCAATCCATCCCAAACCTGATCCTCTTGAATTGCCACCACATGTTTGATCTTCTCTCTTTGTAAGAGACGTGGAAGTTCTCCTCTTGATTCTTCTTCTCTAATGCTTTTCGCTCTAGTTAGCAGTGTTCTAATGTTGCCCTAATGTAAGTGATGTGCATTTACAGGAGCTACTCATCAACCATATACATGCTTTATTTCCATCTAGGGCATGGCAATCTTACTAAGGGTTATACGTAATTTGATTTATTTATGACCTGTTCATATGCTTTCCGGTTAACATCTTTGGAATTGTATTCATTTCATTCTTTTTTATTGACTGTTTAACTAGTAGATAAACCTTATCTTCTAGCTGCGGATCAAGTTCAATATTTAAGACGAGGATCTTATTGATTTCATTAGAGACATAATTATTCTTGCACTACAGTTTCTTATCCATTTTTTGAAAATACAACTTAGGTCTATCGTGGCTGTACACTTGATGGCAGCGTTGTTGCTGTAAAGGTCCAACGTCCAAACTTGCTTCATGTGGTTGCACGAGATATCTACATTTTACGTCTTGGGGTTGGTATTGGGAACCCATTTCAATTTTTGGAACTTACACAATTCTTCTTTTGTTCCTTTCTTTCTTATGTGGACAAGACGCATCTGTGCAGTGATATATTTCAAGTTCTTTTCATGCAACAAAACTTGTTTTATCTGAATCTTCTCTGTAATGCAACAGAGTGCTGAAATCTAATTAATAAAGGATTATTTACCATTAATCATTAATATATAGATTCAAGCTATCAATTCTTTGATTTGGCATGAATGCTTTTTTAGCACATTTTTGTATGGTACTTAGATATTCTTTGTTGGTCGATATGTCTAGTTGAGTATGAATTGCATGTAAGTTTAAATATTTCATTTAGATATTGTTCTCCATCATCTTTACAGTTGGTACTAGTTTAATTGCCAATTTAGCTCAGATGATTAAGGATATTGTTGAGTTTGCATATTTGTATTCTATTCATACATTTGTTTGTTTGTCTATCCTCCTCTAGAAGATGAGTTAAATAGGTTGTTAGTGACAATGTGAGCAGGGAGCAATATAGGGCCTATAATTAATAGGTTGATTATCTATGATGGGGATGATATAAGGGAGACCAGCTTGGATACATGACAGTTGGATGAGTTGGGCAAGTTGACTAGTGCTACCAGTGGGTTGTTAAAGTTCAGGTAGCTGGTTTTGTTCCTTGCAATAAGTTATGGACCTTTAGTCATGTTTGATAATCGAGGAAGTGGCTCAAGAATGGGTGGGAAGAATGGTATCTAATACCAATGTATACCAGTCACAGCCATATCACACTGGTTAGTATCATATTGGTTTATCTAAGTGTAATAACTATATTGGTTCATATAGATATATAAAATGATTTTTAATATCTTTCATATATATGTACCTGGGTGCACTGTATCTGGTATCATACCAGTTGATATGGGCCATTTTGTTGTACTCATCTAATTAGATTCCATTATGGATACAAATACTATTACTTAAAACTTTGGTTGGAAGGAAACTCAGAAGCAGTGATGCATAATATATAAACATATATTATAATTTAGGCTTTAGTCCTATCAATTTGAAAACATTCTTGGGGCCTTTATAACCAATATTAGCTCGATTGAACATAATCTATGATGATCAAAAGACCTAGAAGCAAAAATTCTTTAATTTGAATGTATTGTGCATATTCATCATATCAAAACAAAACCAATGGACAAAATAGCCTAAATATTTTTGATTGGTTGATTTAAAACATGTTTTATGCCATCAGAACTGCTTGTTTTTCTACCCTTCTTAATGTATATGTTAGAAAACTTCTAAATACATTATATTTTTATCCATAAGACATTTTAATTTTTAAGTATCATAAATCACGCTTGATGGAGTTGATCTTGACTACAGATCCTCCACAACTGATTTTGAGTCGATAGTACTGAAGCCTGAATCCTTTTGGTAGGATTTAGATGAGTACATCTATATATAAGGTTGAATGCAGGTCAAATTTGAATTCAGGTTGAATTCTTTTTTCTTTCTCTGAACTTAATAGCTAAGAAGTCCTCTTTGGCTTGCCAAGAATAGATTATATTATAGGACATTCTGTTATATTTTATAACTTGATAATGAATGACTTAGTTGCTGAAGACCAACAACGTTATGCTTATTGCCTATGATCTCTATCAGTTGCTTTTCTAAGCTTGTTAGTGGTGGAGGAATTATTATATTTCAGGTCAAGGTTGATTTGAGTTGTTTTTCAAATTCTTGACCAGTTTGTTTTGCATAAATATCTTTCATTGCGTGAGAGATGATAATTATTGGATTACTTGTGACTACACTCATGATGCTTACTTTCTTTATCTCCTATTATGAGTTGCTGTAGTAAGCTCGTCTATATTCTTAACACTAATGTTCCTAAATGTGCTTAAATTGGTAACATATGATATATTGTGTATTTGTTACACCTTTTACATGTTGCAGCTAGCGTTGTTAAGGAAGATAGCAAAACGAAAGAGTGATCTTTGCCTCTATGCTGATGAGCTTGGTAAAGGTTTAGTTGGTGAATTGGACTACACAAGAGAAGCAGCAAATGCTACTGAATTTATGGTACTCAAAGGGTTGAACTTGCTGAGGAGTAATTTTATGTTTTTCAAAACTGCCCATGTGATGATTTTGTGTCTTTATGGGCAGGAAGTTCATTCACAGTATTCATTTATGTTGGTCCCAAAGGTGTTTATGAAATTAACCAGCAAGAGAGTTCTCACTATGGAGTGGCTAAATGGTAAAAATCCGAATGAGTTGCTTGTTCAATCCAAGGAACTTGTCCAGGAGAATGGTCAGTACTTGGAAATGCAAACATTGGACACAAAAGTGCAACTTTTAGATCTGGTATGTACTAACAAGTAGTTCTTGAATACTAATTGTTACTTGTCGACTGACTGACCTTTTTTAACGTGTGAAAAAAAGAACTTTTAATTGCTTAACCGTGTTTTTTTCCACAAAGCGTAGGTCTTGGGCATTCTTTTTCTAGACTGTTAACTTTCTGAATTTCATTCATTAACTAACTCTAGTATTAGGGACCACTGGAAGCTTGAATTTGTCTCCATTTGTCTTCTTGGAACCTTTCTACTGTTCTCACACATTGTATCTTTTTTTTTAGCTAGCATCTGAACTCAGTGGGAACTTGGACTTGATTATGTCATGAATTTGTCTAGAATGACATAGATACCTGCATGAGGTCATTCTCAAATTGCTTTTAGTGATCTTTTTATGCACACCCAAGGGCTCTTGACTAGCCTATAGAGGCCAATTTAGTAAGTAACTCTTGGAGGGCTTGCATGAGTTGGTTACAAGAATAGTTTGTTAGAGCCAATGATTGCAATCTTGTACCAGGATATAGGATGGGTCCTTGGCTGGACTGGTATATACCAACTGGTACTTGTGTACCGAAGACTTGAAGAGAAAGAAGAAGAGGAAGGAAGAGGTGGTGGTGAAGGAAGAGGAGGAAGAAGGAGATAGAGGAAGAGGAAGGAAGAAGAGGAATTGCTGGAGGAAGAGGTGGAGGAAGGAGGAAGAGGAGGCAATGGAAGAAGAGGAAGAGGTAGGAAAAAGAGAAGGTGGTGGATGAAGAGGAGAAAGAAGGAAGAGGTGGAAGAGGAGACATTGGAGGAGGAAGAGGAAAGAAGAAGATGGGGCAGTGGAGGAAGAGCAGGAGGAGGAGGAGTCAGAGGAGAAGTAGAGGAGCATTTCTAATCGACGATGGATGACAGTGGGTGATTGCCTCCACTGGGCGGTGGGGATGTAGGTAGTGGTGGACGACAGTGGGCAGTTCCTTGCACGCAAGGAGGTAGGGTTTAGATTTTTCTCTTTTTTTCTTTAATATAGACTAGAGCAAACCACTTGAGATGGGTCATTCGCATACGATTCACACTTGGATCAATTTACCAGTGGCGACGTACCAGTCTGAGCAAAAAGAAGTTTCCTGGTTAGATCATTATTGAGATCAAGATGTATTAGCCATGAGAGGATTGGGATTGATGGATTTGGTGGATTAGATTGAGGAATCATGATTGATCAAGTAAATAATCTAACAATAAAATTGAAAATCACAATAATAGAATTGTATTACGCAAATTAAAAATTAACTATAGTTTAACTTAATCATAAAAAACACAGAAATAACATAGCATTGTCAGTCACTAGTTTAATTGGTCAACCTAGGAACAAATCTTTTGTTGGTGTTGCTTTGTTGAAGAAAAGCATCTATACTATCAAATGACTCGGTGGTTTTTACCTCGGTAAAAGAAAGTGGGGACAAAGGTCAAAAAGTGTGAAAATTAAATCCACCTGTGTGCTATTATGATGACATGCACATTGGGGTTATGGAGTGATTAAAGGAAGGAGCTAGGGGGAGTTGATATCATGGTTCGCCTTACCGGTCCGTACCAGTGTACCGACCAACTGTTGGTATAGTATGTACCAAGCTGTACTAAGTCGTACCGAGCATACCGACACATGGTATATGGGGGTGTTCCGATGTACTACCCATACTGATTCCCTATCAGACTTGTATGTATCGCCCATACTGAGCTGTCACGAACTTAGTTGGTTTTGCCTTAAGTTATGCGGCACTCTTGCATGTCCATCCGCAAAGGTCAGCCTCCCCGAAATCTCCTATGGTCCCTTAGAACCTACAAAAGAGAAAACGAGTTCGAGAAAACGTTTCACTCAGGATCCACAAGCAACCATTGCAGCAAACACTTTATAGCTAATACAAATTACAACCATAGACTTCACAAGCTCTGAACGGTCGCTTAAAATGGTCCACTATAGATCGAGATCCCCTGTAGTGCCCACATGATATAACCTTTTTTTGCAAGCCTAAGATGGCCACCAAAATCAATTAAAATGGGGCTGCTTAGTCTACTGTCAGCCTTTTACATACTGTGCAAAGTATGAACAAAATCGAAAGACACAGACATACATGAGCATTATATCAAACACTCCGTTTACAATTTTGTCCGTGATAGAGCGGTATGCCACGGTATGACGAACTTTGATTGATATATTGGTGTAATAATTGGGACCTTAAGACAAGCTATTGGGAGTATTTTTCTGTTAACAAAAGTTTTCAATTGTGTTAAAAGGTTTTGTTAGATCTTAAAGTTTGATTGGAGTACATTGACAATTAATTTATTGACTAGAAATAGCTAAGCAGACAAAAAGAAAGGGAAAGAAGATTGCAGGTAATAAGCAATATTTCAAATACTAGTCAAGCTGCTCCATACAGACTGTATTTACTGCTCCATACGAAGAATCAAATTTGCACTATATAGCTCAATACTATTTGGTATAAAATTGTATATAAATTTTTTCAGCAATTTGGATGGTACAAGTTAATATACTGCTTAATATACCGATATCATATTGATCTAACAAGGTGTCAGAACGAATATTAAACCAAGTACTCTTCTTACCCTCCTCCTCATCCTCCTCTGCTACACTGACTTCTCCTCCTGTTCTTCTCCATGGCCTCCTCTCCTCTTCCTCTGCTGCTTCCTCTCATCCTATTCTTCTTCTTCTTCTTAGTTCCCTCCTCTTCTCTTCTACCTCCCCCCTTTCTTTGTACTGCAGACGTTCTAGTGTACCTTGTCTTGGTACACCAAAATGGACTTGACCCATATTGGTCCCATGGACTGGCATGGGTTCGGTATTCGAAATTGAAGACCTTTCTTGTAAGTATGGTTACTTGCAGCAAACTATAATAGTTAATTAGAAATATGCAGCTTTTACATTCTCTTGTATGAAACTTTAAATACTTAAGGTAAGTAAGAAATATTATCTTATTTATTTAACTCTCCTATGGTGCTTGTGGGTTCATATTTCCTGCTTTTACATGGTATCGAATCATGTAAGGCACATCTCAGAATGAAAAGGCTATTTAGTAGGGTGAATTACCTCTGAAAATACTATGTAAACCTTGTAGGAATGATTAATTGCAGTAAATTGTAGTATTTGATAGAAATATGCAACTTTGACATCCTGCTGTAAGAAACTTTTGGTCATTAAGTAGGAAATGTTCTTTTATTCATTTAACCCTTCTTATATGCTTGTAAATTTTGTTCAGATTTCCTGTATTTAAATGTTATAGGATCTCATGAGCAAAGTTCGCCATATTGTGGCTTACCGCTTGGTACTGGCAGTACATACTGATTTGATAAGGGACCAGTATGGGTAATATATACCGGTATGTCGATATGCCTCATCGTTCCATGTTTTAGTATATCGGTATGGCTCGATACATACTATACCGATAGCCAATCTGTACATTGTTATGGATCGGTAAGGCAAACTATGCTCATGAGGCTAAACTGGACTGAAAAGGCTATTTAGTTGGGTAAATCATCTCGGAAATGCCTGTCAAAAATCTGAGACTTTGGCCAAGGTTTAACGTATTGACCAAAATGACACGAAATGAACGGTATATATGGGTTCTCCAGCTGATCGGTATATGGGCTAGCTTGTTTTGGATAGTACGCTGAAATATGGTCTGGTATCAGTTGATTCGGGTATGTATTGGCCAATACAGTCAACTCTTGTCCTGATATCAATTGATACTGGTTGGTGCCTATCATAATTTGACTGTTGCCAACCCAAATCAGGTCTAGTTTGACCCGAATGGTCAAATTGACAATTGGGCTTCTTTTGGAGCTGTCAATCCCCCTCCCTCCCCCTCTTTCACTTGCTCTCACTCACGTCCTCATTCTTACCCTTTTTCATACTCTCGCTTGTGATTAAAGTTCTTAATCGAATGATTTACTTCCTTCGATAGGGGCCTGTGCGACAAAGTGGTTCCTCTACGGATTCGAAAAGAAAAATTCAAATTTTCCTTTTTATAACCTACAATTTTTATACCAATAAATATAATTTCTACACTTTTCTTATATAAATATAATTTTTATACCAATAAATTATGTAAAAAAACTCTAGAAAATGAATTTTTTAATTTATGATCATTTTTTAGCTTTTTCCCAAAAACCAATATGTACCGACATATTGGCACAATACGTCAATACTGGTATGTACTGATTCGCCCATGGACCGATACCACTGATCGATGCATCAAGACAGTCCTTGATGTGGGCTACACTTATGTCCCCCACACATTAGGCTTGTGAGGGTAATTTTTTCCTCCTAAATAGCTGTGCTTAGATCAGAAAAAAATGACTATTTTTCTTGTTGATATATATTTTGCTAATAGATATGTTTTCGCCACACATTAGGCAAGCACACGCTAATGCAAGTGTGGCTTTGAGTTGCTCGCCTGGTCAAAATATGTGTTCTAGTTAATGTGTGATAGAATAGTATTTCTGTTGCTTTATTCTTTGTTATAGAACATGTAAATTCTATTTACTTTATATCAAGATGTTAAATTAAGAGATGGACTTTTGCTTTACCATTTATCTTGTCGTTATATGTATGTTTAAACTGTAGGTCAAGAAAGGCGTGGATGCAACATTAATTCAACTTCTTGACACAGGCCTATTGCATGCTGACCCACATCCAGGGAATTTGTGTTACACACCTGATGGGCATATTGGGTATGTCAAAATTAGTTTCTATTATGAGACAAATAATTGATTGTTTCAATTATTATCGGCAGTACGATTTTCATATTTGCTGTCTACAGGCAAGGTCGTTCATCTCAGAAAGACTTAGCTGTTTCTCTGCTTTTATCTGAGTTCTTTTGCTTATTTTCTTTGCTTAACGTGCGTATGACCTTTCTAGGTTTCTTGATTTTGGTTTGCTTTGCCGGATGGAGAAGAAACATCAGCTTGCAATGCTTGCCTCCATAGTTCACATATCTAATGGAGACTGGAATGCACTTGTCTATGATTTGATGGAAATGGATATTGTAAGGCCAGAAACCAACCTTCGTCGTGTAACAATGGTATGCCATTAATGACCCACAATTCATTTTCTGATGTTTTATATAAAACATTTTAAAAACGTTCTAAAAGGAGACATGTATGTCATACAATAATTCTCTTCACAATGTAATTGATGTTTCACAAGAGGGATAGTATTTAAAGAGAAAGGAAAACATTTGGAGGTGATCATTTTATTTAAGCTGCAGATGTGAGGAGGAAAGGAGATCCCTAAATAAAAGATGTTGCTCTATATTGTATTCTTAAGGTTCATTCTTTCCATGTAGAAAAAATGTCACTTATGCAACATGAATAATTTTCCATTTGAGCAATTGGCAGCTCGACTTAAGCTACTGAAAGTTACTTGCTTCCAGGGAGAAAGACTTAGTAATGACAATGACAATTGAATGTGCTTCATACAATTCTCACTTTGTATATTTCTGCTTCCATAAAATGTCTTGATAAATAGTCAACTTACAAGGCTAATCATTATTATGTAGCATGGTGAAATCCTTGACAAGTGCTGAGACAATATCACTTGTTACTGGACTAAAATATGATATAGGTCATTTTCAGGCTTGCACATAGTATTGTACCATCAAGTGGTAACAAAAGTTCACATCAGCTGATAATTTATGGGCTGCAGGAGATCTTGTCTGCCAACTACACTACCTTTTTCATAGTAAACTTGGATGTATTTTATCTCTAATAATTGAATTAATATTCAGGACTTGGAAGAGGCCTTAGGTGAGGTAGTCTTCGTCAATGGAATTCCTGACATCAAGTTTAGTCGAGTAAGTATCTTATTATTATTATTTTCTTTCATATTGTCTGATGGAATTGGGGTTTTTATCATCTTTTAACTTGATTATTCAATGATGAACTTTAGTTGATTGCTGCTATTTTATCTGTAAGGATTGTGACCATTCTTTTGTACTATCATATTAACCTAGGCTCCACAAACACACTTGAAGACACTGACTTCCAATCTAAGAGCATAAGGGGACTAAATTAATGCTCAGTTGTACATTCTTGTACTTCAGCTGGGAGGAGTGCATACCCACCATCGTTGTTAACATGCAAGCCATCTGTTTAGTGAAATCAGCTGATCAGGCAACAAAGGACTTCCAACAATTAGCAGAAGATTGACAATCAAAAGTCATTTAGTAAATGAAAACTTGGTAGGTATAATTTGGTCCATTGACATGGTCTCGATTAGCTTTAATGTGAGCTGGAAGAAGTCAAGTAGATAAAAGGTGACATGGAAAGAATAATTTTATTCTAGGCGCACAAGTGACAACCACCATATGTATTATCAAATTTCCAATTAAATGGATCTACTTTTGGCTGGTTTATGAGTTGTGTGCTATTACCTTGAATGGTTTTGAATTCCAATTTTACCATCATGGTACAAAAACTATAATTTGTGGAGGTTTTAAATAGTGATCCGGTATCCGTTTCAGCAACTTATTGGATCACTACAGTACTAGTATATTAGGCAATATACTGACTGAACTATATTGTTCCTGTATCATTGAATAAAATAATAAAAGAATTGTATATGTACTGGTATTGGCATCGATAATTTTCGATCAACATGTAGTCCAATCAATATTTGAAACTTTTGAACTTTATGCCAGTGTAAGGATGTGCTGATTATGTAGTAGTTCAGTCAATATTTGAAACTTTAGACTTTATACCAATCTAGGGAAGTGTCCTTTATGTGATAGAGGGGGGGGCTAGCCAACTCAGTTGAAAGGAAAGGGCTCTCTCCTTTCAGATGAATATGCCTTTCCATACTATTGGGTTCTGGTGGCAGTATAGACCCTCTTCATGCCATGTTAACTAGCTAATCAGTTTGACATGTTGCTGACACATGAGATATTCTTGTGGATATTAGATCATTGGTTCTTTGGGACTGAGGCCACCTAGATGCCCAAAATTTGAAATGTTAGAAAGTGCATAGATTACCATTTCTAATTACACAGGTGTATTATCATCCCGTGTATGCTCATGTGGTTGATAATCATAGGTTCTGCTATGGCACGGTGGCATGATATGATAGTCATGGTCATGTGAATGCATCTATATGAGGAAAAATCATAGGAACATCTCACTTAGGACTATTATAGGTAGGTTGATAGATATCATAAGCAAAAGTAATGGTTTTCATAGAAAAAATGTCTTTTTCTGGTTCAGAGCATAGAGCTCCATCTTTTCTATTAGAAAGGAGGTATGCATCAACTTTATGTTCTACCCTTTGCTTGCCATGGTTTAGAATACCATCCCGGATTGGTACATACCAGATAATATTCAGTAGTCCGACACTGAACTGGTATAAGTGTGCTTTACTCCAACTGGATAATACCTCATGATAAATGTTTTTTTTTTTCTTTATTTTGCTTCCTTTGGAAGTGATAAGTTTCCTTCACTCCATATTCTGGATCTTGCTGGACATATCCCTTTTTGACATACTACACAGATATCCTCAAAAGGCACCTAAAAGTCTAAAACATTTTATTCATCTTCAGTTTTTCAGATTTTTCATTTTTTTTCATGTGAATTAACAGAACTGAATCTTTTAGGTAATTTTAATTGCATAATATATCTGGTAGTCCTAGAAATATCTGTTGCTCTAGGATAATTTATAATTGATTATACATTGTTTGTCAAAGTGAAATGTAATTTTTGTTAAAAGTTCACTATGGTTAATTAGTCATTTAATGTTGGCAAGTTCTACAAATCTACGGGCCCATTCTTATTATTATTTGGATTTGTGATATGAATAATATACTTATATTTTTCAACTTAAATGCAAATATTTTGACTATTATATGGGCAATTGCCATACCTGTTGCAGGTTCTTGGTAAAATTTGGTCTGTAGCACTCAAATACCAGTTTCGTATGCCACCATACTTTACACTGGTCTTGCGCTCTTTGGCTTCCTTTGAAGGTTAACTTTCCTATTTGAATGTTATTTATGGAATCTTTATTTGGATGTTGCATTCAGATGCATATGTACACGCACATCCAGATATGTGGGCACTTAATCAACTGCCAAATGCATGAACAGAATTTGCTTAGATATCATGCTTTGTTTAGTTTTCCTGAAAGATATTCTATACTCATGCCTGTCATCAGGTTTGGCACTAGCAGCAGATCGAAATTTTAAGACATTTCAAGCTGCTTACAATTATGTCGCAAGGAAACTTCTACATGATAATTCAGCTACTGCAAGAAAAATATTGTATTCGGTATGTATTTTCACAAAGTTAACTACATTGATGCAACTCTTGAATTTTCTTTATTGCAGATTCAGATACTTGTCAACATGTGGTGTTATCATAAGCAATAACAAATTTGCCATAATGTGCTCCTGGCTAGTCATGACTGGAACCCTCTATGCCAATAATTTGCTGACATAGATGTGCTAATGGCGCAAGATGGAACAAATTAAAGAGGGTATTAAATAAAGTACTCATATTCAGCTAAGGGGTTCAATATAAGATCTATCTTGGAAATCACCTTCCCCCAACCTAAAAGAGTGGCTTGGTTTATGAGGCTCCCACTTATGAAGGTCAAGGTACATAGCGTTATCTTTGATAATGGATGGGTTGATTTTGCAACTCAAACTGTGACACTCGTGTCACATAGAAGCCAACACATCATGGCACCAAGGATCCACCCTTCCATTTAAAAGAAGAAAGGTAGAAAAATTTAAATCTTGTCGACACAAAAGCTTGGTATCCTAGTCCCTTTTTATGAATCGGGGGGGCAGGAAGATTGGCATTGGTGCTGACTGTTGATTCCATAGTTTCATGGCATGTGACTCCAAGTATTGTAATCTTGAACTGGACTAATGGGTTTGGTCCATTACTGTGTACTGACACACAATACATAGTACTAGGGATAATCAACACAAAAGAACCTTGTACGTAGTCGATCATGTTCTAAATCTTTTGAGTTTTTGACTTTTAGTTCCTACATGTGGGTCAGTTGTTCTATTAGTTTGTATTCCTCTGGAAATATAATTTTATGCTTTTATTTTGTTCTCTTCACAATGATCAAATTGATGACTCAAATGTTCTTCCAAGTTGCTATTTCTGGAACTCTCTTTGGTATAATTTTTATTTTTCTTTAGATTGGTACTTCCGGTTCAAATAAAGTCTTGATATGTGCTACATGCATTATTTTAAAGATTTTATGTAGCTCTTTATATTGCGCAAAACATATGCTTATCTCTTTCTTTTTGTAAAGAAACCCATACTGAAAATTAATTGAGTTCCACTTATCGTTATAATTATGCAATATAATAGAAATTATAAATAAATATTTAAGTACTATAAATGCTAGTGGTACGAGGAGAGATAGAGGAAGATCTAAAACCTTAATAGAGACTATAATTAAAGACTTAAGTACTTTAAAATTAACTATATATATGACTTTTTACATATCTCAATGGCGACAAAAGATCCATGTAGTTGACCCCAAATAGTTGGGATTTACGGTTTTGTTGTTGTTGTATAATTATGCAGTGTAATAACTGTAAGAGATATATACATTTACAATGGTGTTATCTAATATACTACAGTTGATAGTCTTAATTTTAAATGGGGTTATCTTTTACACTTACTTTTTAGGTTGTCTTCAACAAAAGGAGGGAGTTGCAATGGCAGAGGATTTTGCTTTTTCTTAGGCTGGGTAACGTGAGGTAATATATGATTACTCTTATTCCTCTACTAAAATGATCCTTTTTTGTACTAATTCTTTTAAATAAAGCAGCAGGAATATGGCAATGACTTGTTTTTAGTTTCCCGCCAGTTTGAGGAATATCCTTGTATTTTGATAATACATGCCTGCCCAAAAAATGAATGATGCTTCATTTTCTTACTTTCAAAGAAAAGGATAGGAACATTTTGATGTTTTATAACTATAGTAATCAAGATTCTCCACTTTTCACTTATATAAAAATGATTGGCTGCCTTTGGCAGTGGTATGGCTGTAGAGGAAAGGTGACTTGTATTGACAATGAGAGTCTTAGGTGTGTTAGTGTGTTCAGTGTTGGCTTATCTCATTCTAAGAAGTTATCTGATCAAATCAAATTCAAATGATCTGAATGCATAAATCAGCCGACCCATGGTACTTATAGAGCACATTTTGGTTCCTTTACTGCAATCAAAGTAAATATGATAGAAAACACATCAAACAGCATGTTTCATGAAGACAATCCATGAAAATAAATTTGGTTCCATTAGGAGTTCATTAGATCATTATGCAAATGGTGGATGAATACATTTGAGTTGATATGTTGAGTGAATTGTGGGATGAAACAGGATTTTAAAATCTGATTGTATCGTTTGAGTGCAGATTAATCATTTTCAGTCTGTTGGCTAATCAATACTTGGATTAGGCTGTTTAATGTCACAATGTGTTTCTTGATTTTCTTTTTCTTTACAATCCTTTAACATCTTATGTGATGACTGACAGATCTTCCTCCTATGGGCAAAGTGTCAGAGAGGATGTCTTTGAAACTGCAAACCTCATTTTGAGGCTATTATCCTCAAAGGATGGTACTGTTTTCAGAAGAATTCTAATGATTGCAGTATGTACTTCCAGCTAAACACTTACATTCTAGCTCAAGCAAGAATTATCTAGTTATCTGACTTTCGATTTTGTACCTCATGTTATACGTTCTATTTACTACTGCTATTAACCTGAAAGGTCAATTCATTAACAAATAATGAAACAACTTGGTCAACAGTCAACTCCCTTATGTACACGATCATATTAAAGCCAAGGGGGCATGTATAGGCAAGATTTTAAGATGGAAATAGTTACCTATATGCTACTTATGTGATGTAAGGAGGGATTTTAAATCGAAATAGTTACAAGGTGAGAAACAAACAGTTTTTCTCATGCCCGTGCATGAGCAATCATTATGATGATGCTTTTTTTTTTATTGAATTAGTGTATGAGTAGATTGAGTTGGTATTTTTACTTTCTTTGAATTTTTGGCCATAGTAATTTTTTAGTTGGGTTCCGTTTCCTGTATCAGTAGCCAGGTTGTACCAATTCTATTATAAGGATTAAGATACTAACCTTCATAAGGCCAACAAAAACATATGGACTATAAGTCTATAACTAAACCAAGTTGAAAGACAATAAAACTATTATTTATTTTACATGCTATATCAAAATCTTCAGACATCAGAGTGTTTCATCTCTAATAAATGATACAAATAAGGAAGGGGTCAGATTTCTCATTGAAGGGGATATACAGAGATATATGGAGCTCATCTGTAGCATATTTTTAATGTCAATTCAGTGAAGGAATATATTCAATGGCTTAATGGTGATAATGATGTTCATCGTATCTCAAATCTGGAGGACAAAATGTACTCCTCTACAGTCTTTTTTTTGGATGAGCCAGCAAATGTAGCTAGCCCAATCACTTGATTCATGCATGACCTTAGGTCTATATGGAGTGCCTCCCGAAGCTCCTTCTTGGCAGGGCATAGACGGCGATACATGGAGCTCATCTGTAGCATCTTTTTAATGTCAATTCAGTGAAGGAATATATTCAATGGCTCAATGGTGATAATGATGTTCATCGAATCCCAAATCTGGAGGACAAAATGTACTCCTCTACAATCATTTTTTTGGATGAGCCAACAAAATGTAGCTAGCCCAATCACTCGATGCATACATGGCCTTAGGTCTAGTCATTTTCTATTGGATAAAATCAGAAGAGGTGAAATAACAAATCTGAATTTCACCAAGCCATAGGAGTTTTCTGTGTGGATCTCTTTGTCAATGCATGTACCTGGTGATTATTATAAATGCATGATTTAATTTGCCTTTGTCACTGTCATCCTCACTAGTTGGATATCACTATTGTCCATTATTAAGTCTATGTAATGAGTTACATATAGCATCTATAAATGATGCAAATGTGTGTCTATTAGCATCAATCATCAGCAAAACTCCATAGAATTCTATAATTTTATCAATTACAATCTCCACCAGATCTTGAGTTTGACATGATGTCATGATGTATCCATGGACTTTTGAAGATGATCCTACTTTTACTATAGACAGAAGTTATGATGCTCATCTAGTGAAGCCAGACTAACTATTGCATATAAGGGGCATACCATCTGACTGAATTTTGTGAGACTTGATAAGTGTGCAGATTTCGTTGAACTGCTCATCAACATATTTCTCGTCAATATCATATAGAGGACACCTTTGAGACTACATGTGAAGGGATGCAGTTAATGAACCATTTCATAATTGTCTTTCCTATATCCCTCTTTTTCTCTTATGGTCTTTGTTGTAAGAGTGGATCCTAGCCAGTTTGGCATTCTGAGGGAAATACCATGAGATTGAGATCAAAAAGTTTGAAGTTGGCCTCTTACTAAAAGATCTCAAGAAACCGTTGAACCCTGCCCGCAAACCCCACCCCCTGCCATGGGGCTAGGCAGGGGCTGATTGCGTCATGGTAGCACTCTTGCCTAATTCACAACTGCCATTGTCAAATAATAGTTCTCCTACCTAGCTAATGAGCACTGTTTCTACTAGGCTGCTGCATAATATAAAGTTCACTAAATTGAGATGGGTTAACACCACTATGACTGACACGTCTCATGTCTTCTCTGTACATGTTTTTGTGGTTTGAAATTTTGCCAAAACCAATATGTACCCTTGGTCGGGCTTGGATCAGCACAAGGAATAGAGCTTTTCACACAGTCTGATTCAGCAAACAAGTTATTGCTCGTTAACTTGTCAGCTTATCACCTGGTTCAATTTTATTTTAGGTTAACAGGCCTGATAGATTAGGGTTTAAAATTTTAGTTTCTTGACCAGTCTAAACGCATGGCTCTGAGGCAGTGAGCTCAGCATGTTTGCATACTGGTTGCCTGGATGAAGTGGTTTACTAGTAGGGACAGATGTCCCTTGTGCAACCCATCTTTTGCTCATCTCCATGTTGTGTGTCCTCTGTGACCAAGAAATCAGACAATGAGCAGCTATCTAAAGATAGACAAGTAAGACAAAAGATAAATTATATTATAATGAAGTCTATTTGACATCATGAAATCAATAAAGTGGCCATGAGGTGGGAATTTTAGAGTGTAAGGAACGGTAAGACTGTAAGAGAACTCATTTTGTGCTTCATTATGTGGAGAACATCATTGTTGAGCTAAAGAAATATTGGTCAAATGCACAAGTGATGCCCACAACTATTTTATCATTAGGAATTGCTCTGAACTTTAAATTTCTCATGTTCAGGAGTCTGATTATTTATCAAAGTCATGCCGATGCTACTTGTAAATTTTCAACTTGTAATGCACTCTAAAGTGCCTGTGCTAATTTGTTGGCCTTGATGTGTTGTTGCCAAAGTTAAACAGATTTTCCAATGGCATTATATTAACACACTATGTACTGCATTGAACAGGATTCGACTTCTTTGGCTCGAGCATTTATTTCTAAAGAAGCAATTATCTTCCGTAAAAATTTGAGTGCTGCTCTTGCTGATGTTTTCTTCCAATGGATGTTGAAAGCTATTAGAGGAAATGGAGCATTAGGCCAATGTGATCAGCAATACGACGAGCACTCTTTTGCAGCTAGCAAACAGAAAGAGACGATGCTAGGCCTGTCATCTGTGCTTTCTGTGCCATTATTACAAGCTGCCGTAGTAGACCGAAGGCTAAAAGTAATATATTACAAGAAGCTGAATGATGTAAGACGAGATCCCATATTGATGTTGAAGGTGTGTTGGAGTTTCTCAACAATCTTTATGACAGCTGCAGCACTTGCATTGAATAGTTTTCTAGTTTACTGGTCAGAATCATATGTAACATCTTTTGTACAAAGGCGATTTGCCACAGGGGTGTCATAAGCTACTAGGATAATCGAAATGATCAAATATTGCTTATTTTTGTATAGAGAGCGCTGTAAATAGTCCGGTTATCGCTATTTTGTACACACAACAAATTGTAGAAATGCCAAGAAATTGAAATAGTCAATGTGAAAAAGGACACTGACATTTTACCAATTTTTTCATGATGCTATTGACCTGGTTTAGCCCAACTGACTGGTAGTATCCTCTTGGGTTAGCTTGTTTGTTCAAGTTTAATTACTGTCCTCCAGTATTTACAAAAAAACAAATTGCTAAGTTCTAGACATTATCATGTCATTTTTGGTCAAATATTAGTATTCTTTTATCAGACAATTCCAGAAAGCAAAAATTTTGATTAGGCAATGCTTGATCTGTCTGATATCCCTGAGAAAGGCAACCAATGAGGATCTGATGGCTGAGGGCTCTGACCACCTCCGATAAAGCTTGATTCCCCTATTCAGGCCTCTCTCATCTTCAGAAGTTCTTGCTAGCCAATGTTGCACTCTTCTTGCCTGATGTCTGCTGATGAAGATCCTCTGCTGGAATCTCAAAGGTTCCATCACTAACTCTAATCATCTCTCATCATTTTGATATATGTATTTTTGGTTTGAATTGCATAACTGTAAGCACCAATTTGCTCTGTTCATCCTCAGGCTTGCTAGATCTTGGCATGCATTAGCGGTTCCATGTCTTGCATAAGGTCGTCACTGAGTCAGGTAAGCATCCTTGGCTCTTATTTGTTGCTTCAGCAAGCGTGTTTCCAAAGAATTTTATCTTTCCAGTTCTTGCATAATAGTCTTAGTATTGTGAACAAGTGAACCTTATTTTGTTGAGCTAGATAAACACATGGACTAGAGCTAATTGCGTATTATCTTCTATTTAACTATATTTAGTATTTCGATCTTTATACTTTTAAAAATTACATTAGATCTTTATGCTTATGAAAGTAAAATATTGAGATTTTATAAGGTTAAAAAAGATAAATTTTGTTAAAACAATTGGATTAAATATTTTACTTTCATAAGTATAAAAATCTCAATATAATTTTTAAAAATAGAAAATTAATATGTTAAAAATAATTAATTATAAGAGTTAATCTATAATTAGCCTCATCAGTTAGTTAGTTCTAAAGACTAACCATTTAGGATTAGTTATTAAAACCAGACCAAACCAGATTCACCGACCTGTTCGGAAAACCGGAGGCCGGTTTTCACATGAATTAGATTATTGTAACTCATTAATCGTCAAATCACATAAAATAAACCCGGTTCGGTTACAGATAAACCGGAGTGGATCGAACGCAGCCCACGGTTCTGCGGTCTATCCTTTAATCGAAGTGTGGGCTTCGGATGCGCGCAGGCAAGACGGCCTTCTCGTGCTTTGATGCGAAGCCAAATCCCACGCACCGAAATCGTCCTCTCCCTCCGCCGTGGCTTTCGCACCCAAACCCACACCGCCGCCAAAATACTCCATGCTCACCTGTTGCGGACCCACCGCCTCCCCCACTCCGACGTCCACCCTAAACTCCTCCTCCTCCTCCGTGACCCCCGCGACGTCTCCCGGTGGAATTCCCTACTCGCCACCCTCGCCCGCCACGGCTCCCACTCCCTGGTGCTGCGTAACTTCGCCCTCGTGAACAGGCTCGGCCTCCCTTCCGATTCGTACTCCTTTTGCACCGTTCTCACCGTCGCCTCCTCTCTGAAAGCCGCAGGCCTCGGCCGGCAGATCCATGCATGCGCTTTGAGGTCGGGCTGGATCTGTAGCATCTTCGTCTGCGGTGCCCTGATCGACTGCTACGCCAGATCACTTGCCGTCGAAGATGCCTCCCAGTTGTTCGATGAAATGGCTGTTAGGAACACGGTTTGTGTCAACTCGCTGCTTGGTGGATATGTAGAAAGCCGGCTTTGGACGGAGGGCTTGCATCTCTTCCGAAGAATGCGTGAGCTCAAATTGGAGCCCGACGGGTTCACGCTTTCTGCGATTTTGAGGATTTGCGCTGAGGCACCAGCCATTTCGTTGGGCTTGCAAGTGCATGCTCATCTTTTACGCAGGATCAGCATCATCAATGAGGATGTATTCACATTGAGTTCTTTGCTGGAGATGTATGGAAAATGTGGCCTCGTGGATACTGCTCGCTTGGTGTTTGAATTGGCTGGGCAGGCAAAGAGGAGGGATGTTGTGTTATGGACATCCATGCTCAATGCATATGGCCGGAATGGGCAGTTTGCTGAGGTGGTATTAACATATGAAATCATGCTGACAGAAGGGATAAAACCAGATGAGATTGCTCTGCTGGCTGTTATCTCAGCTTGTAATCACTCAGGTGATGTGATCAAGGGGCTCCATTACTTTGAATCAATGTATCGGGTTCACAATCTGGTTCCCGGACCAGAGCATTATGGCTGTGTGGTCGACATGCTTTGCAGAGTAGGGAATTTGAAGATGGCATGGAAGTTTACCAATGAGATGATACTTGAAACAGAGGGTGATGGTGATAGTAATATGGGTGTTAGTGTTTGGGGTGCTTTGCTTAGTGCTTGTCGGGATTCCGGTAATGTTGAGATAGGGAACTTTGCTGCTAAAAGGGCTCTTGAGTTGGATCCAAACAATTCAGGGGTTTATGTCGAATGGTCTAACTTGTGTGCTCGTGTTGGTTTGTGGAATGAGATTGGTGAACTTAGACAGTTAATGAAGGTGAAGGGATTGAGGAAAGATACAGGATGCAGTAGGTTGGAGTTCTTGAACAGATGAGCTGATGAAACAAAGTTCAAACTTGTTTCTGGTACATGTTAAAATCGAAAAAATAGTAAATAACAGGATGAGTTGCATGAACCAATCAACTCAGCGGCAACATTGAGAACATTAGTATCTTTAAGTTGATTATATGGAAGTGAGGTCCTGATGATAGTTGGATGGTTACTACCAAAAGAAAAGATGCAGATATGGAAGAGAAATCCAGTAATTTTTCTCTGTTTGTTCTTCTGCATGGGGTTAGTTTCCCCTTAAGAAAAAATACAAGGTTATTCTGGTGTACAACATAAGAAGCCCTTGGAGTTGGATAGAGCATCTATGGTTTTGCAAGGAAAGTTCTAAGGAAAGACAAATGCTATTTGTCTATTTATAGAGGTAAAGCTTCAGACTTTCATTCTATCCAAACCTTTATCAGATTCACTCTTTTAGTGTTTGCGGATAATTTTTTTATATAAAGAAATTATGGTATAAGTTTCCACTTGCAGAGAGCTATTCTTGAGCAAAGATTTGGATGATTATTACTCTTCCATGCTGTGGAATCTCTGTTAAGAGCAATAACAAATTGGGGAAGCCATTGTGAGTACAGTTGTGCCTTTTCTTGTCTGTGGAAGGATCAATTTGATTTCATATATTGCATAAATCTAGCAAAAATAGTGTACTTATTAGTTTTGGAGTATCATGATCAGCATAAATCTAGCAAAACTAGGAAAAAGTTTGATAAAAAAATTTAAGCATGTTAAGCAAGTAGGCATTCAAAATTGAACAAAATGAAGAAAACTGCAAGAAAACCATAGTATATGGCTTTGGTACAATTCATCCTCCAATTAGTAGTTTGATG